AGTTGTTCTTGATAAGTTTTGCTAATTTTGAACACTTCATTCGGTTCCCAAGCTATTTTGGTAACCCGCAAGCTAGAACTACGCAGCGACCTAAACACTAGAGAAAAGGCGCAAAATAAGCGGAAAGCAGTTTACTCCAAAGGTTCATTTTTGTACAGAAAAACATGGGTGTTTATAGATTATTATCATTTGTCAAATCAACATTATATTTTGGCCAATCCGCTAAGAGATATATTATGCTACTGACCAATAGAAAGCTCCCTCATGCTCTGATGATTGGCTGGAACTCTTCGGCTCCTTTAGGGCCTCTGAAGGCTCCGTTGTATTTCTCGGAAGCCGACTCAACACCTCCCCAAATAAGATTTCTTTCTAGGATCCACTTGTAGCTTGACAACTGGTTTCCGGCGGCGTCCCATTATTCTTGTTTTCTTCCTTGTCCGAAGCTTCTTTCCAGTGTCCTTGGGGATATGTAAAGTTGATGTATCTAAAAATAACTCTAATGGAATATTCGGCTGGTTATTTTGAGTCTGCATCGTTCTTTTGTCTTTATGGATCTGATTTGTATGTCGTATACATGTTCCAAATGTTTCTCGGACTCTGTACAAAATTCTTCCCAATTTTTGTACGACTTTTCCCGGCTCCCATCGGTTCGTCCCGAGGTAGGATTTAATGAAAACTTTGTCGCCAACGTTAAAGCTCCGGATATTTGGATTGTGATTGTGCCCATCCATTAATTTGGATGGCAAAATGGCGTTGAAAACGGTCCGAATACGCCTTCCGAACATGGCTTCAGCAGGAGACTTACTATCTGGAACATTTGAGTTCGGAGTAGTTCTGTAGGATGTTAAAAATTTCGTGATTATCTGTCCAGTTGTCCCTAGGTCTAGGCATGCTCTGTTGTAGTTCTCGGAAGCCGACTTAACAGTTCCTATACCCGACCGTCGTTGCTACCTTGATGTGGTGGCCGTGTTTGCCTATCGCGAAGGACCAATCGAGCTACACTGGCTAGGACAATCGCTCCTCAAGGTCCTACCATGCCACACAGGTCGGTTGAAGAACGGTAACAGTATAAGCAGCAAACCCAAAGTTCAAGGGCGAAATCCTACTGCTGACTGTACAGAGGCATGACAGCAGGAAGGCGTTTCTTTCACATAACGAGCATAACAGCGATGCTACCTTCCCAAAAGGAAGAGTGGGGTTAGAAAAGCTCGACCCTAGAAATACACACCTCGACTTATCCCACGGATATCCATCTTCGGCGGTAAGGTCTCAACAATTACGGAGCTAACACAAAAAGATCGTGTGTGACCAACCTCAAACAGTTGTCCCTTGGGCACTTCGGTCACGCTCTCAGGTCACCAAGAACACCTTTAATCCGATTTCCTTTTCAGGTACCTCCAGAAGAACCCTTCCATGGTGTGGGCAACCAGGAAGTGAAAACCGCCCACATATCTCTTACAGCATTCAAGACTACTGTATTCATAACAGTCCTTGTTTAAATATAATTCTACAAACCACTAAATATAGTTATGAGTTGCAAAGTAAACAGAATAAACTCATTACATAATAATTACACATAACTTTATAATAATAATAATAATAATAATAATAATAATAATAATCAGTTCAGAGTGTATAACCTTTATCATCTAGTTACAATGATATATGTTTATTAATGTTAAAAAGTGCAAATATTTTTTTTAAAAAAAAAAAAGAAATAATTAGATACGTATATTACTAAAATGATTTTCATTAAAAAAAAAAAAAACAATAATAAATAAGGTCGATATACACATTCACCTTAATTAAAGCATAACAAAAATTATGATGAACTACGTTGGATTGTCCCCCTGATGATATTAATAAAGTAATAATTAATTGAATCAATGAAATACATTAACTAAAGTTCTATATTTAACGGTAATAATATCAGATATTGAGGCTAAGAGATCATATTACATTATTATATATGTAAGTAATAGGTATATTATATGATTTTGATAGTCTTATTTGACATCAGAAAGTTAGGCATAATAATCTACGGAATTATTGTAATAACATTAGATAATAGTCGCGTATTATTACTATTATTGGCAGCGTGTTTGAATATCTGGATTACCTGTTCCTGTCATCTATCTAGATATTTCAACAAGTTATTTGGGTTTTTTTTGCTGGTTTCAACATATTATTATGTCAAATAATTGCATAACCTGTTCAGCTGAATTTATGAAAAGCTCACGAGATTTCGCTGTACAATTTACAATAGAGACTAATCAGAGACATCATAGTAGCTGGCAATATGCGTTGAAAAGAATGAACATTATTCACATGTCGATTCCTGAAGTGCTAACATTTAACTGGTGATCGTTCAATATTGATCGTCAGGATCGATCAACAAATAAGAGACGGAAACTTGGTGAAATGCTTTGTGCCAAGAATACTCTATTGTATCGAAAAACAATATTGAATAAAGCCACTAGTATTAATGTAAATAGACTATAATCAATCCGGACACTGCGGTTTAATAGAATCGTAATTTAATTAAATACTTAAACATCTTAGATTTAATCTAGTACATGGCCCTGGTATGGTCCGCAAATGCCCTGGTACGACCGAGAGTGGGGAGAGTCCGCTCTCCCTCTCCAAATGCTCTCACATGGTCACGCGTACATAGCCCCTGCTAGGGAAGTTCTACTCACTGCCTTCTCGTGGCATGACTGTTGTTTACGAAAATGAGAGGACGAAAAGCGAATGTCCGGCACCGGCTTTAAACGGATCCCAAACCAATGGTGCACATGGGCTCCAGTATCCTGAAGGAACAAATGGTGTATGAACCAATTTCTTGGTCACCGGCTACCATGGGACTGCATCTCCTCACGATGCTCCACTGCCTTGTGTATCAGATCTTCAGGTCAAAGGCTCGGGGTGTGGCCCCCTAAGAAAACCACCTGCTTCGGTTTGGGCACCCGGGCAGTATCACAGCCCTCACACATATCCAATGAGATTCGTGTGGCGCATATGTATTTGGTGCCTTCTTGTACCGATATTTATGTGTTAAAATAAATAAATAATAAATCGACAATGAATAGTTGCTCTGAAGAGTGCTAAAATAGGACAAAATAACTATTTCCAAGTTTAAGGATTAATTCTATTAAATTATGTGATTACGAAATATGCTTGAAGATACACAGGGACTATACTAATGATCATCTAAAATATCAATTACAAAATGGGTTATAAATACATTTTAATTTAACTAAATATGAGAATCCAACACCAATGTCAGAATTTTCAATACAAATGTCAAGACAGTTCTACTGTATGGGTCGGAAACCTGGAAAACTACGAAATCCATCGTCCAAAAGATACAGGTGTTTATTAACAGTTGTCTACGCAAAATACTTCAGATCCGCTGGCCGGACACTATAAGCAACAACCTATTGTGGGAGAGAACAAATCAGATCCCAGTGGAGGAAGAAATCAGGAAGAAGCGCTGGAAGTGGATAGGACACACATTGAGGAAAGCACTCAATCGCGTGCGTCACAAGATAAGCAATCATATGGAATCCTCAAAGCCGAAGGAGGAGAGGAAGACCAAAGAATACATTACGCCGAGAAATGGAGATAGATATGAGAAAAATGAACAAGAATTGGATGGAACTAGAAAAGAAGGCCCAGGACAGAGTGGGTTGGAGAATACTGGTCGGCGGCCTATGCTCCATTGGGAGTAACAGGCGTAAGTAAGTAAGTAAGTAAATATGAGAATAGTTTAAGATTTCTGTTACAAAACTCCATTATCCATCTAAAGAATGAAGTTCTGTTTTTATCTTTTTTACTAATCAACTTACGAATGTGAAATAGACATTTGGCAGTTATAAAAGTTCAAAAGATATAAATCGCCTCAATTAGTAAGATAGGGGAAAACCCTGATTTAAAACTAGTAGTTTTCATTTTCATCATAGGACTGAATCTATAATGATGAATGTCTTACAAAAAATTTTCAAGATCAATAACAGTGTATTTCTTGGTGCTTAATTATATCAAGATTTTATAATTACATATAATAGAAAATTCATTTTCAATTAAATAATCAACAAGTGATAACCTTAATCATATTAAATAAAAGATCTTTTAGAATATCCCATAATAATCAAGATCATCTTCATTGTCCTACTCAACTATTCATGATCAATACTATACTTGGTATTTCGATTTTGCAGAATTCAATATATGAAATGATATCAAGACTTAAAATCTAAAAAATACCATAAGAAACAAATAGATCTAAACCGTTTTGACTGATTCTGTACTATATTATCCGACAATAATCGATAATGAGTATTGTACCAATCTCATATCTAGGTAGCCAATACTACATTAAGATAGAATAATTAAGAATAGATGAGAGATTTAAAACTATTCAATACATTTTATTTTGTAGATTTATTAAATACTTAAATTGTAATAATAATGAATCTATTATACAGATTTTGGATCATATATAACTTGGTTGGGTACACCATTATACTTTCTTACTTATGACTCATTGTGGTTATGTAATTAGTGCATTTAAATTAAATAACTTTTCAAGTCAAGAGGACAATATATTAATAGAAGATTCATTAAAATATGATTTTAGTCTTCTGACTAACCGTTGAAAATACAAGTTTGCAAACTAACATGTATAGAGTAGTTCCGGTTGATGTCATAGCCATTTGTATTATTGGTTGAAGAGGTCATTGATTAGATAAGAATAAAGCGAACACACCATTAGATGACTGTAAATCTAATGACCCGATTGAGTGGAAGAGTGTAAATAAGTTGAATTTCTAACAACGTATAATTAATAATGCAACTCAGAATGACAATTAATGATTTCAATCAAAGGCGAATCATTGTACCACACAACATGATCAATTACAGCACAAAAAATGAACATTTAGGATATAAAAGGATATAAAAGTATGTATAATAATTCTTCGTTTCTCATTTTAACTTACCCTACTTCGTGTATTCACATTAGCATGATACTGATTAATCAATAATTTCAGACAGTTTATATTACCAAATTTTGCTGCATAATGTAATGCAGTCTACAATGTATTAGTGAAAAAAGGAAAAATACATTCATAGGAAATATGAAAAGCACATTCAACTGGGAAAAAAAAGACAAATAAATAAGGAACCAAGTAGAATACAACGATGTTATATCATTACATTTAATGCCCCCAAATGCCCTGGTACGGCCGAGAAAGGGGAGAGTCAGCTCTTCCTCTCAAAATGCTCTCACATAGCCATGCGTATATAGCCTCTGCCATGGAAGTCTTAATCATTGCCTTCTCGTAGAATTACTGTTGTTTACGAAATTCATAGGACGGAAAGCGAATGTCCGGAGCTTTAACCAAGTTGATAGACACGGTGAATGCTCTTAGGGGAGTTGCGGACCCCTTATTCCAAACCAACAGTGCACACGGACTGTATTTTAAAAGCTACCTTGCTATTCTATAATCTCTTCACAAAATACCTTACTTCACTCACAAGTGAAAACAAAATATAGAACAAGACTTACCCACTAGAATAATCCATATTCAATTTTCATGAATTGTATATGCAAAGGGGAGAAGGCGGGTAACAAATACAAGAAACAGACAAACATTATGAATACGTACAGAATAGTATAGTTTTTTTAATCAATAAAAACATTGATAGGAATGATTCTATTCTATAAAGTACCAATGATGTTGCTGAATCCTTTCATGTGAACAGATTAGTTGTGAAGTTATCATTGTTTGTTTAAAACATTATTAATAACATAGAAACTCCCAAAAGAAACATTTATTTATATTTGGTACAAGGAGGCACTATATATATATATATATATATATATATATATATATATATATATATATATACGCCAAATAGATCAAATAAATTGTATGAGAGCTAGGATGTTGCCCAGGCGCCCAAACTGAAGCTCATATATTCGTCCTAGCTAGAAATAATCTCTTTAAAAAAGGTTATTGAAATTATGAATTAGCTCAGTATTCTTAATAACCATAAACTTAAATGTAAAGTTGTTAGCGGAATATAGATTGGATTAAAGTACATTCTGAGAAGGATTATGTTGGGGTACACTGATTGATTATTCCCTAACCAATCGGCGCTAGTGGATACATGGACAAGACTCTAGAATCTTCTCGTGTAAAAAAAACTATAAAGTTTTTCTTATTGTAATTCCTACTTCCATCTACTTTTGTTATTGGGAATGTAATCTTGTTCCTGTCTAATCGTGTTCTGATTTGAAGACTTGGTGACTGAATTGGTGCCCAAGAATACTAACTAATCGAGATATCTGGGTCGCAATAAAGAGAGATCATAACAAAATTATTGCTTGAATAATATAAATTATTTGTAAATGATAACTATCAATTGTCATTAGAGTGTAATAAATTAATTTGTCTACTAATACAATTGATTTACACATAATTACAGAGATCTTTTGTTTTCAGTTTGAAATCATTTGTGAAGATGTAATAAAGGCATTCAGATAATGTCTGATACTTGAATGCTTGATACAGAATTTCTAACAGTCCTTCCCCCCCCACAGCATTTTACCACACTTGAGCATTGAATACAAAGCAAAAGGTGGAAATTTCGAAAAGAAGCTTCACTTTCAATATTATTTTAGGCACAGAAAACAAGGATATTTATAGTTGTATGTGTGATCATGATCGTCTTCAAGCTTCCGAAAGTATGTAAAAATTAATTACAAAACAGGGAATTATACAATCAAAATATGACATACAGTCTATCGTCTTTCTAAAACACCCCCGGAAGCTTCTGTTGAACCCTGATTGGAATATACGTATATAGTTGAGATGATGAGTCAATTGAAGTTAGACCAACATGGGCCAATTCCATTATAATTTTTCGTTTATTGATGATCAAACTGAACTACAATTCGAGGTAGTGAATATTCAAGATGTAGTGACTCATACATTAATTAAACCATTTCACTTTCGTTCAGTAGATCGAAAATGGGCACCGATCAGTAAATGAAGCAGTAAATCTAGATTTTGTGTTAATTCGCATAAACACATTAGGAAGGTGTATATATTATTTTACGGAAATTTATTCATGGTCTGAAGAGATCACTTCTGGGAAAATAGACGTCAATTTTCCTATGAGTGCAAACAAGAAATTAACCTAATTTGAATCTATGTACTGACGATTACTACCGATGATCAAACAAGGAGTATCACGCAAACTATTCATCAACTGGTTTACCAAGTCATACTGAGTTCATATTGATAATGAATTAAAATCTAAACTGCATTCGGTATTAAACAATCAACTACCGAGTTAATCATCAAAGTGCCCCCAAATGCCCTGGTACGGCCGAGAGTGGGGAGAGTCCGCTCTCCCTCTCCAAATGCTCTCACATGGCCACGCGTACATAGCCCCTGCCAGGGAAGTCCTACTCACTGCCTTCTCGTGGCATGACTGTTGTTTACGAAAATGAGAGGACGAAAAGCGAATGTCCGGCGCATTAACCGGATCACAAATCAATGGTGCACATGGGCTGGCTCCATTATCCTGAAGGAACAAATGGAGTATGAACCAATCGTTGGTCACGGGCTACCATGGGACTGCATCTCCTCACGATGCTCCACTGCCTTGTGGATCAGACGTTCAGATCAAAGGCTCGGGGTGTGGCCCTCTAAGAAAACCACCTGCTTCGGTTTGGGCACCCGTGCAGTATCACAGCCCTCACACAAATCAATCGAGATTCGTGTGGCGCATATGTATTTGGTGCCTCTTTGTACCAATACCTATGTGTTAAAATAAATAAATAATCATCAAAGTATACAAACAGAAAAAAAAAGAAAAACATGAACTTACACCATTCACTGGATCCTGTGTTACAATACAATAAAAATAAAACAGAAAAATTTAAAACGCAATAGGAACAGAATAATATTTACCAAAATTTAAGTAATCAATAATAAACACTAAATAATGATGATTACACCCAATTATGGACTAAAATTCTGATAATTCTCAATCTAGGATAAAAGTAATCCAGTTAGTTTAGAATATATCATTTATGGTTAATAGTTGGATTCATCAGATGAATGTATCCGTACCTAAAGTATTTGCTTTAAACGACAATACACCATTTATTGAGCTTTTGAGTCCAGATAGTCACTAACCTGTTCAACAGATATCCTGAGTAATAATGACACAATCTATCATATATTCTTTTACTAAGTATTTACAGTATAGTGAATGAAATAACGGCATATCGTTGTCCGCATGTGTGTGTATCCATACAAAACCTGTGTATTTAAAAATAATACGGTTTACAGTTATAGTACGTTATCTGTATCTTGCAAGGTCCACATGTTAACGTAAGATATTACAGTAAAAGGGGATAGAAAAACTATAAGTATTCATAGTGGTTACTGCAAGAAATCAAAGAAACGTGAAAAGTATTTGAAAAATATTGAATGTTACCGACAAAATGATCATTACTCTGATATTAACAGTGTTGATATTGATGAAAAGACAGAATGAAGGAATGTTCGAACTCACGATCTAAATTAGAATATTAGATGCATCTGGATCACTGTAAAAGATTCTGACTCGTGTTATCTAATATTTGCAACCGTTAATCGTAGTGGTTATCTAAACCCCTACCAAGTAATTCGTATTTACTAATATCCCTCATACCAAAAAGCAATGACTCTATGAAATGATGTCACGTTTTGGTTTGGTTGCCTTCACTTTTCTTCCAACTTGCTCTCTTCCTGACCGTTGTTGCTACCTTGACGTGGTGGTCGGGCTTGCCTATCGTGATGAAGCAACTGAGCTATACTGGCTGCAACAACCGTTCCTTAAAGTCCTACCATGCCACACAGGTCGGTTGAAGAACGGTAAGACTAAAAGCAACAAAACCAAGGTCCGAAGGCGAAGTCGTACTGCTGACTGTACAGAGGTGTGACAGCAGTAAGGTGTTTCTTTCAGACAACCAGCATGACAGCGATGCTGCCTTCCCACAAGGAGGGGTGGGGTTAGAAAAGGTCGACCCTAAAAATGCACACCTCGCCTTATCCCACGGATATCCGTCTCCGGCGGTAAGGACTCAACAAGTACGGAGCTAACACTAAAACTACTCATAAAAAGGTCGTGTGTGACCGACCTCAAGCAGCTGTCCCTTGGGCACTTCGGTCACGCTCTCAGGTCACTATGACCAACTCTAATCCAATTTCTTTTTCAGGTACCTCCAGCAGAACCCTTCCACGGTGTGGGCAACCGGGAAGTGATAACCGCCCTCATACCTCTAACAGCACTCAAGACCACTGTATTCATAGTCAACCTCCCTCTTCAATTTTTATTATTCCTCCTGCATCGACTTTATACACTAAACTTCCTCTTTTAGCTTCCTCCTCAAGTGTCACCACAGCCAACGATTCTAGTGCTCAAAACACTGTCCCAGGTCTACTGAAACCTCGCTCCAAACTATACATTGGAGCCTTCAACGTACGCACACTATGCCAAATCGGTCAGCAGGCTTCCTTGGCTAAAACCTTAGAATCTCGTACCATTGATGTATGCTGTGTCTCCGAAACACGCATACAGGATCCTAGTGTGGTCATTCACTTGACCTCACCTCGGCGAAACGGAGAGCCAACGAGATACACCCTCCGTGTATCTGGCGACCCGATGGCTAGTTCTCGTGGACTGGCAGGTGTAGGCATAGCACTTAGCATGAGGGCGGAACAAGCGCTATTAGAGTGGATCCCCGTTAATAGTCGTCTATGCGCTGTTCGGCTAAACGGCTCCGTAAGAACTCGAAAGGATAGGGACACACGTCGTTGCCTTTTCGTCGTTTCTGCTTACGCTCCCACTGACTGCAGTACGGATGAAGTGAAAGATGAATTTTACAGAAAGCTGTCTGAACTTCTTCAGAAAGCTAAACGTTCAGACATAGTACTCGTAGGAGGTGACTTTAATGCCCAGGTAGGTAGCTTAAACCAAACAGAAAGACATTTAGGTGGGTATTTTAGTATTCCGGCACAGCGAACAGATA